AAGATGCGCCGCATGCGATGCATGCGATTTATCGTGCAGCCCTAATTTGCTGTTTTGCCAAAGTTTTCTCTCTCTTTGATCTTCTTTCCGCGCGTTAAATATCGCATGCGATTTATCGTGCAGCCCTAATTTGCTGTTTTGCCAAAGTTTTCTCTCTCTTTGAATCTTTTTCTCTTCTTTCCAGTGCAGAGAATGGGTCCACATCTACAGCCTCTAATGATCAGAACCGGCCCTCGTTTGAGGTGAGCTGTCATTCACTGTATCTCGGTAACTGCTTTTGGCCACTGAGTTCACTTGCCATGCAAACTTTGGTCCATATATATTAAGTAAAAAATGAGATTTCTGGCTCACAATGCAAACTTTGACAATATGCATTTAACGGCTGCTTATATCTAGGGCAACATATATATTTAGACTATCAAAGTTAATAGATGGCAAGCATAAATTGTTGAAAGCAGTGATGAATATTCTCCCAGGCCTCCAGTATTGTATAGAAAACCACAGACACCACATTAAGAAAATCATGTGTGTGTGTGAAACCACTGGCTGTTTGAGGCTCATGAAAGCTTTACCTCTCACCCGTCAGAATGTGGACCAGCACTTGTTTACGTTCCCGCATGGTTATGGCCAGTTTGCTCTGGGGATCTTCGATGAGGGCTTCGACTTCAGGGCGGGTTTGTCAGCAGAAGATAACCGTGATGCAGAGAACCGCAGAGAGCGGGAGATGGCCTCACGACAGCGCTACGGGGCCAGACAGCCACGGGGACGACACGTTCCCCGAAGACAAGGAGCGCGGCATGAGGGTGTACCCACTTTAGAAGGGTGAGAATTCAGCAGATGGCTCTGTAATGCAGATTTATTCAGTCTGTTTTACATTTTGAATTGATTGAAGTTTTTGAATTTATTGAAGAGCTATCTATTCTGGATTCCCACTATAGTTTAAAAATATGATTTCCAGGCCTGGAAGTAAAAAAAAGTAGATGAAATATATATTTAAAAATAATATATACAAATTTTATTTAGTGAACATAATTTTAAATAAATTAATACAAATTAAAGATGATTTTTTTCCCTACTAATTCTGAGGTTTTTATGATCGTAATCTCTTTTATAAAATTTTAAATGTATTTTTTTAAAAACCTTACCTAGTAATCAACTTTAGAAAATTCATTGGTCAAAAGGTGTGGGGAACCCTATTTCATTAAATATTATTACTGTAGTAATAATATGCTACGGCCATTACTGTAGACCAGAGGTGTCCAAACATTTTAATACCAAAGGCCAAAAATAAAACTCGCCATGTGCCAAAAGTAAATATTCCATTATATACAACTATATTAAAATATTTACAATTTAAATCATTTAAAAAAATATATCAAATTTTAAAAATGTTTAAATTATTTGTATATATTTTATGTGGATGCAAAAGAAAAATATGCTAAAATAAAACAAAAAATATATATGAAAACAAAAATATAAATATAAAAATTATAAATAGCATGGTTTTTTTCCCTATTTTCCCCCTACTTTCGTGATATGGCATGCTGGCCAAATCAAAGGTCATCACGCAGGCCCTGCTTAGGGCATCTCTGCTGTACACTAAGAAAAAAGTATATATGTTTATCAGCGTTTTGGCAGTTTTAAGGGTGGAATAAAATGTTTTTGTTACATTTGAAAACATTTGAAATGTTCATTTTGTTTGTTTTCACAGAATCATTCAGCAGTTAGTTAATGGAATTATTGCTCCGACGGCTATGCCAAACATGGCGATGGGGCCATGGTGAGTCCCCGATAAAATTCTCTCTTTTTACATCATTTCTCAGTGTTTGACAATACACAGCTGATCACTGGACTCTATACTGTTGTCCTACAGGGGAGTGCTGCACTCAAACCCAATGGATTACGCATGGGGTGCCAATGGATTAGATGCCATCATAACACAGGTCCTCAAGTGGCTTATTGCTTTATTTTATAATCACAAGGGGTGTGAAACTCTACAGAGCCCCGTGTTGCTATTGCAAACACTATCAGTGCATTTAAAAACAGTATTATCTCACACTCACTTTTTTGTCCCTGTTGTCGTCCTGTAGTTATTAAATCAGTTTGAAAATACGGGTCCCCCTCCGGCAGACAAAGAGAAGATTAAGAATCTCCCAACAGTCCAGATAACACAGGAGCACGTTGGTAAGACAGACGGACGTCTGATACATGACCACACACTGCTAGAGCACAGCAGCAGTTGATCTCTGTTGATCTCTGCTTCAAACAGGCTGAATTGGGAGATTTCTCAGAGAGGGTTCTGTATGCTGACAGCGTGATGCGCTTTTGCTTTCTAGCGGTAACTGTTAGACATCCCACATGGTAAAACCCTCTCTGAAGCCCTCATCTACTGCAGCCGTCAAAACACTGCCTTTGTAAAAGATTCACACCTTCCAGCGCAAACTTCAGACCTGCTGTAGGCAGAGATCCTGTATTTATGCCTCAGGTGTTTTTTGTGTGCAAAATCATACTTTTGTGCAATAAGATAAGTATTACAAATTTGTAAACTATATAAATATACATGTTCACAGTGTATATAGATAGTATATACATTATATTAAGTACACACACACTGACACTACCGTTTTTTTGTTTAAAGAAATCATACTTTTATTCAGCAAGAATGCATTAAATTGATTAGAAATTTTATAATGTTCTAGAGCACAGCAGCAGTTGATCTCTGTTGATCTCTGCTTCAAACAGGCTGAATTGGGAGATTTCTCAGAGAGGGTTCTGTATGCTGACAGCGTGATGCGCTTTTGCTTTCTAGCGGTAACTGTTAGACATCCCACATGGTAAAACCCTCTCTGAAGCCCTCATCTACTGCAGCCGTCAAAACACTGCCTTTGTAAAAGATTCACACCTTCCAGCGCAAACTTCAGACCTGCTGTAGGCAGAGATCCTGTATTTATGCCTCAGGTGTTTTTTGTGTGCAAAATCATACTTTTGTGCAATAAGATAAGTATTACAAATTTGTAAAATATATAAATATACGTTCACAGTGTATATAGATAGTATATACATTATATTAAGTACACACACACTGACACTACCGTTTTTTGTTTAAAGAAATCATACTTTTATTCAGCAAGGATGCATTAAATTGATTAGAAATTTTATAATGTTATAAAATATTTCTATTTCAAATAAATGCTGTTCTGTTCAAAGAAGAATCAAAGAATCTTGAAAAATAAAATGCATCACCGATTCCACAAAAATTTTGGGCAGCACAACTGTTTTCAACAATGATAATAATCAGAAATGTTTCTTGAGCAGCAAATCAGCATATTAGAATGATTTCTGAAGGATCATGTGACACTGAAGACTGGAGTAATGATGGTGGTCTTATGTCATACAGACAGAAGTTGAGAAATAGAAGAGCAGAGAGATGGATAATAGTTTCAGCATCTCCAAAATTAAGTGAGGGACGTATACGAACAATATTCCGCAATTGGTAAAAGCATGATTTAACAATCTGACCAATATGTGAATCAAAGCATAATGCAGAGTCAAACAGCACTCCCAAATTTCGCACAGTTGTTGAGGGCCTAATCTGGACACAATCGATATCTATGAAGATGTCATGCTGGGAGGAGCTCTGTGATTCATCTCCAAAATTAAGTGAGAGACGTATACGAACAATATTCCGCAATTGGTAAAAGCATGATTTAACAATCTGACCAATATGTGAATCAAAGCATAATGCAGAGTCAAACAACACTCCCAAATTTTGCACAGTTGTTGAGGGCCTAATCTGGACACAATCGATATCTATGAAGATGTCATGCTGGAAGGAGCTCTGTGATTTAGGGCCAGCCAGCAGGATTTCAGTTTTGTCTGCATTTAGTTGTAAAAAGTTATCTGACATCCAGGTTTTAAGTTCTTGAAGACAGGAAACAATAGAAAGGGGTGGACAAACTGAGTTGGGTTGAACCGTAAAATAGATTTGAATATCATCAGCGTAGCTATGAAAATTGAGACCATGATGTCTGATAATCTGACCCAGTGGCAGCACGTAAATGAGAAATAGAAGTGGACCAAGTACAGAACCTTGGGGGACACCATGGGAAATAGTGACAGTGCGAGATCTATTCTTATCTATCCTAACGAATTGCTGTCTATCCGATAGATAGGAAGTTAGCCACTGAAGAGTAGCACCAGTGATACCTATAGCAGATAGTCGAGAAAGAAATACAGAGTGACAAACAGTATCAAAGGCTGCATTCAGATCAAGGAGAACCAGGATACTGCGGGCACCTGAATCAGAAACCAGAAGGAGATCATTAACCATTTTTAAAAGTGCTGTTTCTGTGCTGTGAGAGGGATGAAAACCAGATTGAAACTGCTCGTAAAGATTGTTTCTCTAAATGAGACTGCAGTTGTGCTGCAACTACCTTCTCAAGTATTTAAGCAACAAATGGGAGGTTTGATATTGGTCTAAAATTGTTCAGATCTGTGTTATCAAGACCAGGTTTCTTAAGGATTGGGGTGATGGCAGCTACTTTTAGTGGAACATAACCAGTGGCAAGGAATCTGTTTATAATATGAGTAATAGGTTGGATGAGTGAAGGCAAAAGGGTTTTGAGTAAGTAAAATAATAAATAAATTTATTATTAGAAATAAATTACATTTTACAATATATTCACATAGAAAACAGCTATTTTAAATTGTAAAAATATTCCACAATATTACCGTTTTTACTGTATTTTTGATCAAATAATTGATACCTTGATGAGCAGAAGAGACTTCTTCAAAAGCATGAAAAATCTTACTGACCTTATCAGAATCTTACTGTGATATAGTGATGATCTTTGATGTGTTGCTATTTCTGACGTGTGTGTGTTTTTGTGGTTCAGGTGCTGGTCTAGAGTGTCCTGTCTGTAAAGAAGACTACAGCGCAGGAGAGAATGTTAGACAGCTTCCTTGCAATCACCTCTTTCATAACGACTGTATAGTTCCCTGGCTCGAGCAGGTGTGTTTCTCTTCTGTTTTATTGCGTTTTTAATAATCTAAACTCAAAATATTTACAACTTTTGACATTTTATATTTGGCCGTTAATGAGTGATCCAGATAAAGTCTGTTTCAATTTGTAGTTTGTGACATTAATTTCATGGTTCGTGGTTCTGTACAGAAAGGCAGGAGTTTGCTAATTGAATTTCTGCTAATAACTCCTGCTGCTGTGTTTGAGTTCATCCTGTTATACAGCACCTTTGAACTCTCTTACTACTTCAAATGAATATGCAGGTGTTGCAATTAAAAAGTACTTGTGTAAAAATAATACTCCAGGCTTTCAGATATATGCTCTTGTCAAACTCAGAAACATGATAACAAGAAAATGGACAGGATGGGAATAAAGAGCTGAAGTTAGTCATTGCTCAGTGAGTTAGCGTCAACCTAAAGTTCAAGCTCATTTTCATACAGTACATTTTCTTTAACTATTCTAATGTTATTATTATAATACTATAATCAAATTTTCAATCAAAAATGTTGATCTTAATAAAATAAAACAAACAATGAATTCCATTATTTAATGGTACGTTATTTGATAAAAAAAAAAAAATACAATAAAAACGGTAATGTGCAATATCATTGCAATTTAAAATAGCTATTTTCTATTTGAATATATTTTAAAACGTAATTTATTCTTGTGATGCGAAGCTGAATTTTCAGCATCATTACTTCAGTCTTCAGTGTCACATGATCCTTTGGAAACAAGGTTGTTAGTTGGCTAAATCTTAAACTAAAATCATAATAAAACACTTTGTTACTTGAAATAAATTAAACTTTAAATAAAATAAGATAAAAAAACAAACTTTTTAAAATTTAAGCTAGTTTCATTTACTTTGACAAAAAAATAGCTAAAATTAAAACTGAAATAAAAATGAATGAAATCCATATAGACATTTAAAATTAAATATCATGTAAAATGATGTAAACAAATATATTAAATATATATATTAATAATTTTATTTATATATATATATATATATATAAATAAATATAATAAGTAAATACTTTAAATCTGAAAATATAAAAATAAAATTCAAAATATTATAATAAAAACTGTACTAGTATCTTAATGAGACTAAAATAACTGTTCAGAAATCATTCTAAAATGCTGGTTTGCTGCTCAAGAAACATTTCTTATCAAGTTGTGCTGTTTAGTGGAAACCATGATACATTTTTCCAGGATTCTTTGAGTAGAAAGTTCAAAAGAACAGCGAGTTAAACGCTTTGTCTCTGTGTTTCCCAGCATGACACGTGTCCGGTGTGCAGGAAGAGTTTGAGCGGGCAGAACACAGCCACAGATCCGCCTGGCCTGTCAGGGATGAATTTCACCCCCTCTTCCTCCTCCTCTTCCTCCTCCAGCTCTCCAGGCAACGAGAATTCCACCAATAACTCGTAAGAGCTCAGCCCACATCCTGAACACATCAACACGTCGTCATCATCATCATCACCATCTCAGCGCCGCGTCGCGCCGGCCTGGCCCACACCACACCACACCGTTTCCCCTCCACCGGTGATGGATCCACGACACGGTGGAACCAGGGCTGAACGCAAACCTCAGAACCTGCCCATCACTACTAACACACCTCTACCAGCCCCTGAAGCGGGTCCAGACAGGTCAGAGAGCACGCCAAACCCCCAAGAGAAAAATACACTCTTCTATTGCTTCAGACAGCGTTTCGTTGCTTTTTTTACACCGTTGAACTTCAGAGGTTCTTCAACTGCAGAACTTCAGAATGCCTCAAGGTTTGGGCGGCACCTGTCCTCGTGACGTGGTTTTAATCAGCAGAAAGCGTGAGGAAAAGAGGAAGAGGATGTTACGCAACGCAGTGCCTGATCTGAAGACACACTGAGTCGAACTGCATTTTAGAAGCAGACTTTGTGTCTCTCGAGAGGGACGCGTGATCAAGTAGAACCTTTTTTTATCATTTGATTTTTATTTTATGGATAAAAGTGGCTGATATGTGAACGTGCGTATGGGTGAATCTCACAAAACCAGTCACATTTCACCTCAAAATCAGAAGAAAAAAAAGAAACTATTATGCTAAAGCCTATTTTAGAACCACCAATAACTTTACTTTTGAATTTTTTTATACGTTTTTGAAAATTGTTATTTTCATGACAATAAAGCAGTTTGCTGTAATGCAACAAAAAAAAATCAAATACGAAAAAATATTATTGAATTTGTTTATAGATTATATTGTTAGTTGTACTGCCTTTAATTTGATAAATCATTTTATATTGTAATACTGCATTACAGTAATGAGTCTGAGTAACACATCTGAATGCATTATGGTAAATAAATGCTTAATTCTCATGAAAATAACTAAAATATAGTCATTTTAGGTATAATCAATTTTTATTTTCTTTTGATTTGGGGGTTAAGTAAAACCTGGATATTTTTTTTTTTTTGTGATTCACCCATATATATGAAACATATTTATTGAAAACATAAAAAAACTGCGTCATATTTTGAAAAGCCAAGTGATCCAAGAACATCTGTGACTGAGGAAAACACTGAGTGCAGGTTTCTCTCCTAATATTTATTTGCACAGTATGTTTTTGTTTTGCGAAGATTATTAGAACATTGAACAAACAGAAACGTGTGAATTCTTTTGGCAATATTTGATATGATTTTCTACATTTAGCATCATCCTTAAAACTCGTGAGAGAAATAGATTTTCTCTATTTCACTCTGCATTTTTTTGGGCCTTTATCCAAACAGGCACATGGCCCGATAACGTGATAAAAGCTCTCTCTCGCTTTCTCTCACTCTCACTCTTTCTTTTTTTATTTTATTTTTTAAATCTCCTCACATTCAGCTGTCTTCTCTCAGTCTGCCACACATATTCATTGACTTTCAGTTCAAGGCAACTTTTTTTTTAACTTATTTTAAGTTAAATGGTTTGTTTTTGTAAATCATAATAAAGCAGAAGAACAAACAAATGAATGACTGAATGAATGTAATGTATCACTGCTGCTGATGAAATGTTTCATAAAATCTGTCATTGGTTTCTCCACAGATCACGAACACAAACTAAGCTCAGAGTTTCTGGGTTTGTTCTAATTTATACTCTAATAGACGCTTTTAAAACGTAGGACTTAAACTAACTGAAAATTAGAAATAAGTTTGTTTATATTTTATTTCAGTTAATAGTTGTCTATTTAAATTAAATTAAATTTGTGTTTTTTTTTCTAATTTTTAGTATTTATAATTCTAATCCTAATCTAACTGAAAATGAGAAATTAGTTTATATTTTATTTCAGTAACATTAACTTTATTTAAATTAATGTACATAGTTTATATATATATATATATATATATATATATGTAGTTAGTATTATTCAAATTTTAGTCATTTTAGTACTTTAACTGAAAATTAGAAATAACTAATTTGAATGGTTTTTCATATTTGTTTGTATTTATTATAATTTTTAAATATTCGTTTTACTTAATTGAAAATTAGAAATTTGTTTGTTTATATTTTATTTCAGTTACCATTTATTGTCTTTAAATTAATGTTATGTACATAAACAGCAACACTGGTATGCAGGTATATATTGCAACTTTTTAAAAATAATGACGTTTTATTTTTAGCACTATGTAACCAAAACTCGAATAATTTAGTTTTCATTTTACACCCTCTCTAATTCCTAGAGCTGCAATTAAGGTGCCATTATTTGCTCGTTTTTGTTCATTTGCTGCTGCATTTTTAATCTCACCGGTGGCGGGTTTACGGTCTGTTATATGCGCTGCTTCAAGAGCTGAATCTTATGACGGATTCATAAAATAATGTGTGCTGTGCTGTAACGTCAGCCTGTTCAGATCAGACTCAATCAGCACAAGCTTGACGGCCTGTTGTCTCATGCCAGAAAGTAGCAAAGATTCAGTACAAGTTGTTTTTACAGCTTTCAGTAAATGAAAATTTCAGCTATTTTTGAGTGTTGAGTTGTATGTAACAGCTCTACTCTGCTTCTACGGTCTGTGTGTTATCAGCCAGCCGCCTGTGTGTCTGCATGCGTCTGTCTGATCTCCAGCCAAGCAGCTGCTAATTGTGATTATCTGCAAGAGTGACCAGCCTGTTGCTGCAAACTGATTTTGAAGTTAATTGATTGTTGGCTATAAACCGCACAAGCAGTCCCTGTACTGCACTACTGAGTGTTTTCAGACAGAGAGCTCTCTCCTCCCTCTCGCAGTGTTTTTATTTTTATCAGACCATCAAATTAACCATGTATGGAGACCTATGAGCTATTTTGACTGAATCAGTTAGTGACCTGCCTTGCTGCTGCTCTTATGCTTCACTCTTAAAAATGAAGTGTTTTTTTTTTTTTTTTTTGCAGTGATGCCATAGACCAGGGCTGTCCAAACTCTGTCCTGCGGCCCTCCAGGACCGAGTTTGGACAGCCCTGCCATAGAAGAACCCTTTATTTTTAACTGTTGGTGCACAGCACTGAGCTTTACCACAAATAAAATCATTTTCCTGCAAAAACTTTTCTTGATTGCACACTAAATTGTCTAAGTTTAAAGTATACACTAAACAAATACATCTTCAGTGTTATTTTAGTATTACTTATATAATATTATAGAATTCATTAGTATTCCTAGTATTCATGTTTTGAATGGACTTTTATATTTTCAGTATTTAAATTTTAGCTTTTGTCATTTTTATTTTTTTTAAATTTCGATTAGACCTTAGTTTTAGTAATTTTAGTACTTCAATAGTACTTTTATTTTAGTTTAATTTAGTCAAATTTTCGTTTGTTTTTCATCTAGTTTTTATATTTTCAGATTTTATTTTAATGTTAGTTTTTGTAACTTTGTTGTGCTTTTTACTTTTAATTTTTATTAGCTTTTTAAGAAATATTTCCATTAGACTTTATTTTTTTTTAGTAATTTTAGTACTTCAACTTAAACTCATTTTAGTTGGTTGCCAAGGCAACATTTCTAATTTTCTTTAAGCTTTTCATCTAATATTTATATTTTATGTCTATAATAAATATTGACAAAATTATTAGGAACAATTAAACGCTATATTTTAAGATTTCATTTTAATTTTAGGTTTGTTTTTGTAATTGTAACTGCTTGTCATTTTTATTACTTTTTTATGTAATTATTTCAATATTTCCTTCATTTTTAATTTCAGTTTTAGTTTAGTACTGCTAATTAAACCTATTTCAGTTAGTTGCCAAGGCAAGATTTTTGCCATCTAATATTTGTATTTTATTTCAGTTACCAAACATGACTTTCCTGCCTTTCAAATCATCCTCCACGGTTCAGTGTGTGATACACGATTCCCACAATCACAGAAAACCTGGAAATATCAGGGAAACTGGCAAGTCATAGTGAATGTGTTTTTCCTGTTATGCTCAGCAATAATAAAAAAAAAATATCTTAAATGCAATGCCTATAAAATGATTTTTAAAAATCCTTATCCAGTAATGACAGATAACTGGAGCACATTGCTAAAAACCTGTAGATATCGTGTTGATCTGCTGAATCTGAAAAGCTTCCAAGATCGATCCACAGATCTCCTGCTTTCTTGGAACTTTGCCTTTTATGCAAATAAAGCCAAAGCATCATCCTTAAATGTGTCATACCAGGAAGTGAGTGCCAGCATTCAGTTCTGCAGAGAGAGAGAGAGAGAGATTGATCCGGAGCTGCTCAGGTTAAACACTTCCCAAGTGGGAAGCAGAGCGTGTGGTTTGGGAGCATGGCGACCCCGCTGACCTCCAGAGGTCAAACGCTCCATCACTGAAGGGACGCGGCATCCCACCTCTCTCCCTCCCTCCGCCGGGTTGAGACAACCTTTCAATGTCAGTGCTCCGGGCTGCTGTTCTGGAGGTGCGCTTCACTCTCTGCATTGGCTGGCTTCGGTCACACGTCAGCACCAGGGCGAGGGAAAACAAGGTAAGATCTGACAGTCTGCAGGACTTCTGTGAGCCGGCATTCTCATTAATGTCTGTAGTCTGCTACTGTAGGTCAGCATCAACGATATTCAAGGAGGAAGATGACTTGCTTTTTGGAGATGATGTGCTCAGGAAGATGCTTTGTGATCACGAAAGTGGTCAAGAACAGATGCAGGGCTTGTGATGACAAATGAGCTTTCTCTTGATGTTAATGTCATGCATGTGTCTATTATGAAAGCTGAGATCATTCAGTGAGATCTGATTCTTGCATTGAAAATCTGGGATTTTTTTTCCCCATTTAAACCTGGAAAAATGAGTAAAATGAGGAAATATTTCAAATTATGCGGCAAAAACTGCATAATTGCATAAAATATAATAGCGTCTTAATGTTACTATAATAACACTTTTTGGAACTATTGCGCTTATATATATATATATTTTTTTTTTTTTGTTTTGTTTTATATTTGTAATAATATATATTCATATGTTTCAATTATATATTTGCACAAATGTGGCCTTTGTCGTCCCACTGGATTTTTATAAATGTTCTCTTTCTATCTTTTTTATTTTTCCATTGCAACCATTTTTGAAAATGTTAGCTAATATCTATATGGTTACTAGGGTGGTACCATTTCAACAGGTATACATTTATAACTTGTTTACCCCTACTTATTTACATATTAGTACCTTAAAGGTACACATTAGTATCTAATTATTATCTAAAGTGTACATATTAGTATATTAATGATACAGATTAGTATAAATAGCAACACTGGTATGCAAAGGTATTGCCCCGTTGACAGCTTTTGTACCTTTTTTTGTGAGAGTGTTTTGATATAACATAGTGTTGAAGATTATTGCTACATTAGTTTTGAGAACATCTGGGCATAGTGGTTTACCGACTGCAAATTTCTTCAACTTACACTTTGTAGTTTTTCTGATGGAGGTCTGAAAAGTGTATTTGCGCTTTATGGTTTCTGAAAACATTCAACAGGTCTTTAAAGCTGAATGACCCCAGTGGTTCTCCAAAGCTCTTATCTGTGAGCTGCTGTAGTTCCGTCTGAGCGCCGGTAGGTGGCGCCGCGCTACAGTCTGATTTCACTGTTAAATGTCATTGAGCGCATCCTCTACTGTTATGACATCATAACGCCATGACGACAGCTGCATTTTTAGACACAAGTGCCAGATTGTTTATGCGACAATAGTAACTACAAATATT